ATGAGCAGAAACCTAACTACAACAAGAGATCTTAAAAATTTGCTTTAATATATTTCTAAGGCTCATTCCTCTAACCTTTGCTTCTCCCCTTTTTTCTGAATTATATTTGTATTTTAACCTCTTTTTCAGTTCATCATTGTTGACACAAGGGAATGATCTGTATATCTTTGCATATTTGAATTCTGCAATGTTTTTAAATTCTCTGGATAACATACAAAACTGTCAAAGGAGAGGTTTCTGGGATCTGTTGTCTTTAATGTACTATATGTTAACATTTATTGGCTCCAGGAGAAAGTATTGTACCTTTTCCTTGGTCTGATATATTGATAAGTTCTTTGACCAAAGATGAATTTTCTGTTTTCATTCCTTAATGTGCCATCAGTGCATTGTGAATGCCTTCTGAATTTTTAACATGTTAATAAAAATATTTTGGTGCCCTCTGTGAGAATATTTAATAAATTACAGACAAATAATAAGCAAGAAATAAAAGCACAGTAGTAGAATTAAACTGAATAATTATCCTTAATAATTCAAATGAGCAAAACAAATTATGTTTTGATGTTCAATTTCCAGAACAAAATGCAGAGAACGACACAAATGTATACTCTATACAAGTTATATGCTCCAGATTGTCAAAAATGTGGCCCAAAACACCATTTTAGATAGTTTAGTTCATATTGGTGGTACTGTTAATTAAATTCTGTGAGGTAGAATATTATGGAGGTACAACCAGGTGGTAGACTCAATTAAGCACATGAGACAGAGGAAGCGTGGAGCACAGGGCATAGTCAGATAAGATATATCTCCCAAGAATAACCGCCAATTTAGAACAATGATGTTCTACCCATAATGCTCTTGTACATTTCACCAGCTCTCCACGGTGCCTTCATGTAATAATTAATAATAATTAATAATTAATAATAATGTAAAAATTAATGAATTACTCTATTAATTATGGCATATTTCTCATGATCTGATCATATCAGAAAATGCCCTTAGAGTAATTCTATAATGGTATTGTCTGTTAACCTTTATCTTTCTCTTTCTTTCTGTAGAGTTGCTCAATAGAGGCCCTTACTAAAATCTGAAGTCAATGATGATTTTCACCATCCATTAACACCTGTGGTAAACCATGTAAGACAAGGGGTGAGCCACTCCTATGGTACGTCACATGCAGATTAAAAATCAGCAGTGTTTCCTTGAACTTTCCAGACATCTCCATAGACCACATGTTTAGGCAGTTTATTCCCTCTGTTGTGACAGATGCACACTAAATGCTGGCAGAGGATGTCTGAGAAGGATTAATATGCAGATATCTGGTCATTTTCAAGCAGAACTATTTCATCATACACAATGTGTCTGAGCCCATGAACACACAAGCAGCCGGGACAACATAGGCCCCAACTTCTGCTTCCCTCAGTAGTTTCTGTCATAGCTTTTATCACTGTGTGAGGAGAACTGTAACCTTGTAGACAATAATAAGTTGCAAAATCTTCAGGTTCCACACTGCTGATGCTTACAGTGAAACTTCTGCCAGAATATTGGCCACTGAACCTTGATGGGACACCAGATTGCAAACTACTTCCATAATAGATCAAGAGTGTAGGAGACTGTCCTGATTTCTGCTGCTACCAGCTCAGGTAATTGTTAATGCTCTGACTTGCAAGACAAGTGATTGTCACTTTGTCTCCTAGAGATGCTGATGGGAGGGATGGAGATTGTCTCACTTGCATGTCACATATGGCACCTGACAGTAAAAAGATATCAAAAGTTAACATAATTAGCAATGTCATAGTACGGAATCCCCTGACTAGAAAGGGTGTGATGAATAATCTGGGCTGGAATTTTTTTCTATCCTGTGCAACTTACCTGAGAGCAAGATTAGCCAAATTGCCAGGGTCTGAGTAGGAGACTTCATGGCCATGCTGTGTCCTGACTGGGAATGACTCCTCCAGGGACTGAAAGCAGTCACCTAAGAATCTGTTAGTTAAGGGGAATGGACACTGAGTTCATGCAAATCAGACAAATCTGTCAGGCCTATTGACAGGAGCAGAGTTTGATAAGCTCATTAACACAACATATTTCAGTTTGTAGAGACCCTCCTCCAGTCCCAAGAGAGACACACTTCCTGCTTAAAAATAATTCCCCCTAGTAACTAAAGGACATAATTAGTCTAATGTCCTTTAAATAGAGTTGTTTTGTTTTACCTTGTTCAGTTTTGTGATGTTTCCTTTATTCAGTGATAAAAAATTATACTTTTCATTCTAACTTTGAATATAAGATGGTCAGTTGGAGGTTTAATTTTTTGGGAATTCCAAGAAATATAAGTTTAGGCCAAAGAATTTTTTCTTGGGGGATTTATGTGATAAATCATCAGGACAAGCAATGGACTGAGATATAACTTTTACTGATCCTAGATACAAGGAATGGATCAAAGGGAAATATATATATATATATATATATATATATATGTATTTGTAGCTGTAAAAATAAGGACATGTAAAAGTATCCTTTGATAAACATAGTTGAATGATCTACAGGGAAGGGCCAAGATACTGAGTGCCAAAACTAAATTGTTACCCTCACATCAGGGCTTTCTTCTATTTCTCAAGGCCCTTTTCACTCAGTCAATTTATGGAAAATACTTGTTCTCTGTCTTTTAAAAGTCTCTGGCATATATCTTTCTTTAAGAACACTAAAAATTCCCTAAGTCAGTGTCTCCTACACTCAGGGATGACCATTCACGATCTTTCTTATTCAACATCTTCACTGTCAATTGTAGATCTTATGCAGACTGAATTCATCCTTGAAATCACTCTGATCCACAAACCTTCACATTTAACTTCAACTATCTCTTCTAGGTTTATACCAGGGTATTTAGTTTTATTTCAACTTGACACAAGATGAAGTCCTCTGAGAGGAGGAAACTTCAATTGAGAATACGTCTCCATAAGATAATTCTGTATACAATCCTATAGGTAATTTTCTCACTAATAGATGGAGGAGAGCTCAGCATATTTTCATAAGACCACACCCAGACTGATGGTCCTTGACTCTATAAGAAAGCTGGTTTAGTAAGCCATAAGGAGTAAAATCTACAGATGTCTTCTCTATTAGCTCCTGCACTCAAGTTCCGGCCCTGTCCTCTCTTCCTCTGATGATGTATAGTGATAAAATAGCATGTGCTAAATATACCCTTTCCATCCCAACTTTGCTTTGGTGAGGTCTTTCATCAAAGTAATAGTATTACTAAGATGAATATTGAAAGAAACTTTATTTTTCTAGTTTGAAAATTTTATTTTCTTGTGTTACCTAACAATGAGCTCCAATGTCACCAATCTCTAACATAATTAAATTCTTGTATCTTATGCTTCATATGAATTTAGATATCCAGTTATCTTTTTGTTTAATTTCTTATGGATTTTCAAAGCGACAAACTTTTAATGAGAATGTTTTTTTAATTTAGTAGTCATAATCAGAGTATATTGTACATTTTTTACTTTCAATATACAAAGACTTTTTTCTGACTTTAGACATTCAGCATGGATTATGGACATCATGCTATTATGCTATTTTAACTTAATTAAAAATTATGTATATAAAATAGTCATTGCAGTTCATTTATAACCAGTGAATGTTTAAAGTTGCTTTATCATTGCCCTGTGACTTTGTAGGACTGCAAAATTTCTCAAACAGGATATAGGAAAAAATGTAAGAATAAAAGTGGATTCTGGACATTGTCATTGTACTCATGAACCCACTTCTGTGGTTTCCTGCCAAAGATTGGATATATCAACTGTGGTAATATATTATTTATGATTTTTTTCTGGTTTACAAGACAGGGTTTCTCTGTATTGTTTTGGAGGCTATCAGTCCAGCCTGGCCTCAAACTCACAGAGATCCGCCTGCCTCTGCCTCCCGAGTGCTGGGATTAAAGGTGTGCACCACAACCTCCTGGCTATTTACTATTTATTAAAGTTTCTCAGAGGATACAGAAAGCAAACCCAGCCACATGATTAGCTATAGAAGTCAGATGGTGGTGGTACACTCATTCAGGTCCTGGAAGCTCAAAGACTAAAGACTCTCAGATAAATTCAAAGGAAAACAACAGTTCAAAATATCAAATCTCAAGGAAAAAAGTAAAAGACATGAGAGAGAGAGAGAGAGAGACAGAGAGAGAGAGGTTACATTGAAGGGAATCCTACTAAATGAGCACTAATGTTTTATCAAGAATGTAAGAGGTAGAAGGTAATAGTGAAAGTTTCTACAAGAGGAAACAATAAGAAAAAGTGCCCTGTCACCACCTGAAAAATATAATTAACAGAAATTTTCAGAAGTGAAAGCAACATAAGCACTCTCTGGCAACAAAAGAAATGTAATTTAAACTGAAAATGGGTTGACAAATCTACACAACTATAGATGAAAAAGTAAAATTTATCAATAAGTGAAATCACCAAACCAAAAACAAATTGGATCAATGAAGAAAATACTAAAAACAATCATAAAATTATAGCATTGATATGTTCCTACTCATCATTAGAATAAATGTACTTGGAATAAAACATGGAATCAAAATAGTGACAATAGCTAGATGGAGATTAAAAAACTATTTGATCATCAGAAATGAAATAATTCTTGAGTAATGTAGTCTAAACTTAGAACACAAACAGGAAACAAAGGGAATAAAATATGAAATGTTTATATTAGTAAAGTGGAATTTAAAACAAAAGCATAAAATGTGAATAATTTATATAATTATATAATAAAGGAAACAGGTTAACAAAGGAGTATCTTCAGGATAATTTTGAATGATGATGGCAGAGAATCACTATATAGTATAGGTTTTCACTTAGCCTTTGCTCCATCATTCATGGTTGCTGTTTACAATTCTCCTGAGGCAATTTCAATGTTACTGCAGATAAAGAATACTGAGACTCATGACCCTTGAGGTATAGCTATGGCAGGTGCTCCTTTCTCAGCTTCAAGAGATAATCTGGAGTACTGCAGCAACTTTCTCACACAGAGATAAGTAATATATTTCGCAGCTGGGCCGCACCAAGCAAGGATGTTTTTGTTAGGGTCTGAATAACTGTGGGAGTACCATGTGTGGTTTGCAAGCAGTAATATACTCCAAAATCGTCGGGCTCCACACTGCTGATCTTGAGTGTGAAATCTGTGCCTGACCCACTGCCACTAAACCTGCCTGGCACCCCAGAAAATCTGTTGGAGACCTTGTAGATCAGGAGCTTTGGAGACTGGCCTGGCTTCTGCAGGTACCAATGCAAATAGGTATTTCCATTACTGTGTACAAGACTCTGACTAGATCTGCAAGAGATGGAGACTTGCTCTCCAAGGCTGACAGGCAAGAAGTGTGGAGTTTGGATCATCACAACATCACTTCTGGAAGCTGAAATAAAGACAGAGAAGTACAAAGCTAAGGACTCACCTCATGAACAACCTTCATGTATTCTTTTTTGGTATTTATTCCTGAGATATTGAGTTTTATTACAATTCTTTTTTTTTAATTTTATTTTTCAGTTTAAATTTAGATAAGAATCAAGGTTGCTTCACAAGTCAGTTCCAGGTCCCTCTCCCATTCCCTCCCTTCCTCCCGTGCCCTCCCCCCTCCTGTTATCCCCTCATTTCTCCCAGGAGGGTGAGGCCCTCCATGGGGGTGTCCATAGTGTGTCATTTCATATAGGGCAGGGCCTAGACCCTTTCCCAAGAGTTCAGGGTGAGAGTGCACCTCACATTATTCTATTGGAGTCCAAAGTCCGTGTGTATACTTGGGATGGGTACTGATCTGCTGCCCAAGGCTCAGTTGATTCCCTAGGCCTCTTCACTGACACCCAGATTCAGGGGGTCTTGATCAGTCCCATGCTGGCTTCCCAGGCTAATGCCTGGGATTCAAGAGTCAACCTTTGTTTGGTCAGCTGTTTCTGGGGGTTGGACCAGCCCAGTCTTAATCCCTTTGATCATCAGTCCTCCCTCTCTGTTACTGGCTTTCTTGAGTTCAGCTCAGTACTTAACCAAGGGAGTCTGCCTCTTCTTCGATCAGCCACTAAATAAAGTTTCTGTTTCCCAGACTCTCTGGCCATAGGATTGTAGGCTGGCACTCCCCAGATCTATGTCTAAAATCCATATATGAGAGAGTATTATACATTAAAGTTTCCTTATTTAGAAATCATAAGAATTGAAGGCCCTAAAGGGTTCCAAGGCATGAATTATACCATCACATTCTATCTGTCTCACAGTCTTCAAAATAGAGCAAGTTATGTCCTATCTGAAACCTCCCTCCAATAGATGTAAGACTCAATGTTCCCACCCTGGAGGATAAGACCCCTCTGTCTTTTCATACATGGGTAGAATACATGTGATCATCACAGGGACACAGGGATAATCCTCCCTAACCCACTTCCTTTCTCACTTCTCTTTGTACTCACCAGGAATTGTGAACAACGGGAGCACCAACAGAAGAACAGGCAACTTCATTTTGAGGAGGAAGTCTGTGGAGACTGATCAGTTAATACATGATGTCAACTGAGCTTTTATCTCAGAGTAGTAAGGGTGGGTCCTCCCTAGGGAGTTATATGCAAAGGACAGGGTTAGTGTTACAGTATAGATAGAGGGAACAGTCATGCTTCACAGGGCTCCTACATTCAACTAGTGGAAAGACTTCTTGAGAGAAAATATCTGTTATAAGACTTGGAAATAATAAATGGGAGCAGTTTCATATTTTCTCCTTATTGAGTCTTAGGTAAGCTCTCCCCATCCTGAGTTTTTCTCTATATGGAAAATTGAATTGTATTAAATTATTGCTAACTTTGAATGAGAGGTTATAAACCTCTGTATTATGTATTCAAAACAAAGGATTCCAAGTAGACAGAGGACTCCATATAGGGAAACAAAAATCTAGATCCACATTTTTAATGCCTCAGGGTTGTCTATGAATCTGACTCCCTGTCCCCGCAGGTCACATTTGGCAAGGTCATTAGGGTCAGATAGTGGTGAGTCAGAACTACTCAAAAGAGTTGGTCAACTGGTGGATGAAATGAGAAGAATATATTAATTCTTTGATACTCAAACAGTGCTGGTCATTTCAAACTGAAAAGAATTAGACAATTTTGTCAATGTAACATGACATCTAAGGAAATTACTGGATTGCAACAATGATATCAGATAATACAAAGAATACTATTTAACTCTAGTAAATACTGAATAAGTTGTTCCTAATGTTCAAATTAATTGAAAGAAAAGGAAGCTAGCCTATACTATTTTAAAAATGAAAAATAAAAGGTCATATTTTCAAACATATGTATATTGATTTATTGTGTAAATCATGAGTTTTTGTTGTTTTTTACTTAGTATTCATATAAAGTGGTTAAAATGTTAGAAAACAAATACATATTTATTGTCTCAAGTGTTTGTTTAATTTATTTTTTTCTTGAGACAATGAGATACAGGCTGCCATCAAACTAATGATCTCTCTGCATTAACTTCCCAGAGCTAGCCATGCAGGCATTTGTCACAGTTGGTTGTTCCCTATTTTTTTAAATGACAGATTTCCCTAACTGAATATTTTTTTTGGTTTTTACGAGACAGGGTTTCTCCGTATTGCTTCAGAGGCTATCGGTCCAGCCCAGCCTCGAACTCACAGAGATCCACCTGCCTCTGCCTCCCGAGTGCTGGGATTAAAGGTATTCCCCACCGCCGCCCGGTGCCTAACTGAAGATTTTCTAAATTTATAAATGACTTTTATTTTTCCTTGGATATTTAGTTTGAAATTGATGCTGAATGTTGATTAACAAGCTACTTCTTTCATCTAGTGTGAGATTTACCTAAATTCATTTTATATATGTCCAACTAAAGTGTAGATAATCTACGGGATTTGTTGAGTGACACACAACTTTTGATCCTTAGGGAAGAGTCAAGATCTCATAAGTATTGCCTGTAGAGTTCCTAGTACACTGCAACAATAGATGATACAAAGCAATATAATTTATCTCTTTAACATAATTTTATTCAAATTAGAAACAATATTATTCTACATATCAATCCCAATTCCCTCTCTCTCCTATTTTGGCATGCTGCCCACCAACCCCCCAACCCATCTCCCATCCAGTCCCCAGGGAGGGTGAGGACTTCCATGAGGGATCACCAAAGTCTGTCAAGTCATTTCAGGCAGGGTCTAGGTCCTCACCTGTGTTTCTAGGCTAATAGTGTGTCCCTCCAAGGAGATTGTGCTCCCAAAGTCCATTCTTGCACTAAGGATAAATACTAGTTCTACTGCCAGAGGTCCTATAGACTGCCCAGGTCTCCTAGCTGACATCAATGTATGGTCCTACACTAGTTTTCCAAATGTCAGACTTGTTCATTTCAGCTGTTTATGAGAGGTTCCCCAGCATGGTCCTGACCCCTTTGTTCACCACTTCTCCCACTCTACAACTGGATTCCAGGAGCTTGGCTCAGTGCTTATCTGTGGATCTCTCCTGCTTCCATCAACTACTGGATATAGGCTCTAGGATAGCATAATTGAACTCTTGAACTTACTGTTTTTTACTCTACTCAACTTACTAAATGTAATTTTAATATAATGAAGCATACTGAATTAAATATCAAAAGTATTGTCATAAATCAAGACATAAAAGAGGATATTAAGGTAAACATGGAGGCGTATGTTCAAGGTACAATGTATGGTTCTTATGTAACATACAATGAATATATATAAAATGAAACGTGGTACACAAGTGAAAAAATTCATGTACTGGAATGGAAAACATTGATGCTGTGTCTAGTGCTTTTATGAAGACCTAAAATATATTTGCAATTTCAAAAATTTAGGATAAATTTTCATAAATGTTTATCAGACACTGACCATCTTGTTTTCACTAGAAACTTAAGTTTTCATTTATATACTCTAATGAAATTAATTCTGTGGATGCATACATTTTCATAATATTTTATGCGAAAATATGGAAAAGTCATTTTATGTTGTCATAAATGCTACAGATTCTCTATTTCCAATACATAGACTGTAGAGTACCAAATAGTGAAGAACGCATGAATAGGGAAATATGAATTAATTTTCCTGCATCTGTTAGTGAAAAAATACCAATCATGAGAAGTGGCCATGAGTATAAATAACATTCCTTCTTTCAAGAAATTGTTTACCATTGATTTAGGTATGTTAAGGATACGCATTTACTTTTTCAGTTCTTGACTAAGTTACACATATTTTTTCTTATTAGTTAATTGCCTTATTTTTATAAGTTGCCTTGTAAGGGGACGCTTCCTGAGGACACATGGTTTCCCTATTGCAGAGTACTTTATCCATTTTGTACACTATTTTATTAAAGTTGATAATTTAGCAAGTTCAATCACAGGGTCTATGTCTTCTAGCCACAGATAATTGGCTACAAAACTTGTGTCTGATATTCATTTTATCTTATGAAATTGGAATGAAATCCACCCGGAAGGTATTTGATTATTCCATGATTTTCATACCACTATGGTTAAAGTAGCATACATTATACGACTGCTCATTATTATACCTCTTCAGATCAAAGAGAATGTAATGTTATTTTAACTTACCCATGGCCTTGAAACATGCTTTGTGTCTGCTTTTTATGACAGCTGGCTGGTAGAGTAGTAGGAAGCAATTTTCTGCAAGGATTGTCCCCTGGTATATTGGCTCCTGGTAGGTTATTCCCTCACCCACGTGTATATGGGCAAGAAAACTGGTCTCAGCTGGTTATTTTTTAAAAGGGGGGGTATTATATAAACTGAAGATGGTGGTGGTGAATCTGAGAAGAATCATAGGGAGGAGGGGAGGTGAATTAGACCAAAATATATTTTGTACAATGCACAAAATTCCTAAAAATGAACTTTTTAAAAAAAGATTTTATTTATTTATTACATATACACCAGATTGAATTGTAGATGGTTGTCAGCCACCATGTGGTTGCTGGGAATTGAACTCAAGACCTCTGGAAGAGCAGTCAGTGCTCTTAACCTCTGAGCCATCTCTCCAGCCCCTAAAAATGAACTTTTTAAAATTATGTTTAAATATATGAAATAAGAGGCTAAGTGATGTGGCACATGTCTTTAATTGCAATACTAGGAGGCATATGAAGGCATATTTCTGAGTTCAAGCCCACCCTGTTTGGCAAAGTGAGTTCCAGACCAGCCAGGACTACAAAGAGAAATAGTGTCTCAAAAAGCAATCATATATATACATTGTTCTTCAGGAAACATGGGTTCATTTCTTAGCACCACATGAATAAATCCTTTAACAATATCCAAGAAAAAATAAAGAATTGAAGGAAGCAAATGAAACTGTTCATGTCCTGAAAATGGAAATAGAAGCAATAAAGGAACCACAAACTGATTAAATCCTGAAAATGAAATGAAAACAGGTATTACATAGGCTAGCATCACAAAAAGAAGGTAAGAGATGGAAAAAGGAAGCTCAGGAATGGAGATGCAACAGAAGAAATGGATACAAAGTAGAAGAAAATGCTAAATCTAAAATCTGGGACACGGTGGAAAGACCAAACATGAATGATAGGAATAGAAAAAAGAGAAGAATTCAACTCAAAGACACAGAAAACATTGTGAACAAAATCATAGAAGAAATATTTCCTAACATAAAGGAGAACATGCCTATAAAGGAACAAAAATATACAGAACAGCAAATAGATTGGGTCAGAAAAGAAAGTCTCCCCACCACATACTAATCAAAACATTAACAGACAAAGCAAAGAAAGGACATTAAAAGGCAAAGGAAAATGACCAAGTAAAATACAAAGGTAGACCTATTAGAATTACACCTGACTTCTCTATGGAGGTTCTAAAGCCAGAATGACCCAGACAGATGTCCTGTAGATTCAAATAGACCAGAGATGACAGCACAGATTGCCACACCCAGTGAAAATTTAAATCACCATAAAAAGATGTTACAAGATATTCCCTGATAAAGTCATTTTTACAAAATATCTAACTGGGCTGGAGAGATGGCTCAGAGCTTAAGTGCACTGGTTGCTCTTCCAGTTCAATTCCCAGAAACCACATGAAGACCGACAACCATCTGTAATAAGATCTGGTGCCCTCTGGTGGCCTGTAGGGACACATGCAGACAGAACACTATACATTATGAATAAATAAATAAATCTTTAAAATATATCTAACTAAAAATTCATTCCAACAGGAGACGATAGAATGAAGAAATCCAAACAAAGGAAAATATAAGAAATAATCTCACATCATCAAAACCAAGAATAGAAACACACAGACACACACACCATCATCATCATGATCATCACAACCACCACAAACAACAACAAAAAATAAAAATTACCAGTTATCATTCATTTATATCTTTCAATCTCAATGATAATGAATTCTACTGTTTAATTAAAAAGATACAAATTAAGAGAATGGATGCCAGGACACTGAAACATGCAAGCATAATGATTATCTTAGCACCCCAAGACTCCATTTGTTTGGGTTTTGTACACCTATTCAATGTACTTGGCAGGCTTAGACCCTTTC